AAAACAATGGGACAGAAATAAAACTCACAAAAACTGTCTTTGTTAATATGTCAGGTGTCTTTCCAACAATCACCAACACTGGCTTTGTTGAAAATATTTCTGAGAGGGCTACAATGGCTACATTGTAAGCTAATGTTAATCACAAATGCGTCTGTCAAAGTCTGTCCACTAAAACTGCCTGTTTTTGTCCCTGACAGGTTGAGGTTGTTTGTGTCTGACAGCATTATGGAAAGGATCCCTACAGAGATAGACCTTTAGTTTAACCAGAAACAGCTGTAGTATTGCTATCACTCGCCACCAGACTCCATAGACAAAAACAGTAATTTTACCTTGCAGATAATCTTAACTTCATTCAAAGTGGACAAAGCAAAATAAAATGAAACAAAACCATCTTTCTTAGTCTTTGAACTGTTCCAACAATCACCATTAGTTGAAAAATCTTGAATTCATTGATGTAAGATAATAAAAACAGCAGACCGGGTATGGAAACAAACCACAGAGAGGCTGCGATGGCAACACAGTCAGAGTGAGTGGGACATTATTCTCTGCTCAGGACGCTATGACTCCACTACAGCAAATAGCTCTTTGCTGCTAATGTTTTAAATCTCATATAACATTAACTATATATATATAAAATTAAAAATGAGCATGTAGCACATCTGAATTGTGGGGACCAGAGTTTGTGTTCTGTCACACTCTATTACCTAATGTTTAGTTTTTAAGCATACCCGCAATCTTTCCCTAACCTTAACCATGTGTTTAGTTGCCTAACCTAACCTAATTGCCATAACCACAACCATAGCCATACCGTGGTTGCCATGAGCAGATGGCAATGGTCACAGTAACATAATCCATGACTTTGCAGAATCGTTCAATATCAATTTTCAACGTGGCAGAGGATAGGAACAAATATGAAGCAGTGCATTCTCCGTTTCTGTTCATGATCATTCTGGGTCTGTTGCCAACAAAACCGATTCAAGAATGTTCCACACAAACTCTCAAGTACCCGCTTTGTCCACAAGTGGCTGTAATGACACAACAGAAATGTTTGAGTAACGATGATGAATGAAATCATTATGTGAATTAAACATTTTTTACTATTCTTTGTGATTGTTCGTGATATTCTCTGAGGACCATCTTAAAACAAACAACATGTTAAGACACCTGGGAAAATGCCAGAGTCAGTCCAGGATAAAATGTAATTGAGCTGAGCATTCTTTAGCCTTTTCATTACCTTTTAATCTTCTAATAACACTTGGTATGAGTCATGCTTTTGAAGGTATAATGAAAGCAGGATTGTTTGTTGTGAGGAATGTGCCGGAAAAAAAACTGTGTGGTTAAAACAGATGCAGTGCTCTTCAGGAAAATGCTCGTGCTGGGAATTGGACCTCAGTAATGTTTTTGAACAGACAAAATTGTGTTTGTAGTTATTGATATATTGAAAACTATAAATCACTGAAAGCTGGTCATTACTGTGCAGTCTGCATCTCAGATGTTATTTATTATTTGATTATATATTGCCCAACTTTGATCATTATTTTTTAAATTTGATACTGCATATACACAATAGTATTTTTAAAGTTGTCTTTCAAGAAATAAGTTTTTATAGAAAACCATGTTTATACGCAAAGTATTGGAAGTTATTATCTTATCAGTATGAGACACTTTGAACCACACTCAGCTCTAACTGATGCTGAACCAGCGTTCATCTGCAGGTGCAAAGAGTATACAGTATGACAACCATCGCCTGTCTGTGCTGTTACTTTTGGCTGGAGAAACAGTTCCCGAGTGATGACTGGAAGAAGCTGCTGTGAGACTTCAGATGTGCCTCAGTCAAAGGGGAAGGAAGAAAACTCCTCACCTCACATTTCTGTAAAATACAACATACATCAGCTTCAACAGATATATTTATATATTATTACATGTTCTTCTTGACGTTGAAGAAATGGAAATCATTATTTTTGTCACACTATTCACATTAATTTCTGAGCCTGACCTCCTTTAATAAATGAGCTGTATGTGTTACTTTACAACACAAAATGTCACATCTGTTGCAAAAGACAAGGATGTTCTTATCCTGTCTCACTGTAGGCTGTGCCGTAACACCGCTCTGCCTTTTCCTCCAGAGTAATATAACTTTCTGTTTCTGACATTTATACCAGGCCGGTAGGATACTGAATGTTCAAAGAGAGACATGATAAGGACATGACTTGTTTAAACGTGTGCATGATTTAATTTAAATTGTCGGTGACCCGAAATGGTTGGGAACCACTGCTTTAACTGAACGATGGGAACCGGCTCCAGTGAGAGCAGATTTGTTTTCTTTCTTTTAAAAAAATAAGAAATTAGATCAATACAAGACAGAATAACAGGATTATTTTACAGCGTATTTGTTAAACATGATGCAGAAATGTCTCACTTTGGTGATAACATTAAGATCAAAACATGCTGAGACTTTTGCACCTTTCAATACCAATAAAGTGCTCAATCAGGCGTAATAGTAATTTATGTTTTAACATTATTTAAGGTATTTATACAAAGCACAATGTAAAATTGTGGAATTACATTGAATGATTTACAGAAAGTTATATATGAGCACACATACCAACCAGAGCTCAAAACATTGACAAACAGCTGAATTATAAAAGCCAGAAGTACTAAATGCAGAGCCGTTTGGGAGCCGCAAGAGCCAGCTCTTATTGCTGAGCTGAGCCAAATGATCTGGCTCACTGTTTAGGGCCACAGTTCCCATCACTACAAGTGACTCCCTTCGGCTTTGACAAAAAAATGATATGACAGTGAAGTGAAGTGATTCTGACATTCTCCAATTGTAAAAATGTGTAGTTACAAATGTAATAGTGCATGAACCAGTTTCTTTTATTTCACCACCGATGCTGCTGGCTGTCTGCTAAGCTTAATTTGAGCTGAGAAATTAGCAAGGCTCAAATATGTTTTGTGGCTCCAGACAGATTTTTTTGGGGTAACAGAGATAATAAAGTTAGCTAACCCTGGTCCCAGAGGAAAAACCATGTCCACAGTTTATTGAGAGAA